TCCTGAAAGCTTGGGAGTCAGGCATGATCTTATGCAAATGCTTGACACTATTATTATCACTCACAGAACATGGTCTTTGTCTGTTTTTGCTCTAAGCCATGGCATGGCTTAGAAATAATTGAATTGTCTACATCCTATAACTAAGGCAATTTCTAATTATTACTTGGCTACCCATATAAATCCTAAGTAAATCTGTGGAGTTTCTTTCCCCAGTACAATACAAATAAATGTAAATAACTGTCGTGTCTGTGTTACCAAGTATTTTGTTAAGCAGCTGAAAGTAAATATTGGCAACTAAAGTGGTTGGCTACTCAAGTTTGAACAGGTGTTTTCCTAAAGGAAGGCTATACATCTTTAATTTTAGGAATAATTGAATTGGAGCAAAGTACTACCCTGGTTACCCATGCTGATTTCCTTACATTTAATGGTACTCATTTTAACTGTCATTTCCTCCCCCCCACAATTGCCTAAAAGTGTTAAGAAACCATTAGCTATCGAAAAGTGGAAAGGGGCTGCAAAGGACCAGGCCAAGTAGAGTTAATAGCAGAGATTGATTAAGAGCATCTGCAAGGAGATGGGCTACCACTGAAAATGGAAAATGGTGCCAGAACTGAGTGAGGGTAAGGAAGTTATTTACATGCGGTTGGGAACTGTTTGATGAATATTCTGGCTCCATTTAGGAGGGGATGTATGTGCAGTTCAGGAGGGGTAAGAATGCTAGCCATAACTCAGTAAGTCAAGATGTGGGGTCATCTGCTGGAGGCCTTGTAGAAAGTTGGAGGGCTATCTGCTGTGAATGTTCTACAACCTGGAAGGAAGTTTAACAGAACCAGAAGAAACACTATGAGTCCTATTCTCTGCTTAACAAGTTCCTAGACCCATTGGAGTAGAGAAAGACTAGCAAGTCCTATCCTTTACTAAATGAATGTTTAAACCCCCCAGAGGTAGAAATTTAATGAGTGTTTATGACCTCCCAGAAGTAGAGAAATATTGTGAATATATTCCAGCACTTATTAAGAAAGCTGCTCTCTGGATTTCCTCCATTCGACAAGCCCCAGAATAGAGCTGTGGATAAGGACACTACCATTGCTCTCCAGGTAATGCATGCCCACACCTTTAACAAAAGACTCATGCCTACATTTTTAGTTCTTGAGCAAAAGACTCATGCCTTCATTTTTAGTTCTTGAGCAATTTTCTCCAGTTAGAAGCAAAAGGGAAATACAGTACAAGGAGAAGTTAGAGAGATTCCAGGTGGAAGTAGGATTTGACACATCTTTGCTGGCTTTGGGATATAGGGTCCCATATGCAAGACCAGAGTGATGATTCTGAAAGTACAGACAAGTCCTCAGCTTACAATAAGCAGAGAGACAGGGACTTTGATTCTACCACTGCAGAACAGTCTCTGCCAACAATTGATATGGTGTCTTCCCAGGGCCTCCCATAAAGGACTCAGTTGATGTCCAAGAAACTCAGAGCAGGGAAACCAGCTGTGCCAATCCAGAGTTCAGACCTACAGAACTATAAGATAATACATTTGTTTAATTATAAATCACAGTTTATGCTAACTTGTTACAGTAGCAGTATAAATATAATACAAACAGAGAACATGTGTTGAGTACCAGAGGACAGACACTATGACAAGCATATGATATGCCTCACCACATTCAGTCCTCACAACTGTTGTTATCCTACATAGCTTCAAAGTTGAAGAATGAGGTCCTTAACACATTTCATGAATAATTTTGTTCAGACTTTTTATATGCATCTTTCTTTTTGAGACAAAGTCTTACTCTGTTGCCCTGGGTACAGTGCCATGGTATCATAGCTCACAGCAACCTCAGACTCTGGGCTCAAGAGATCCTCTTGCCTCAGCCTCCTGAGTGAGTAGCTGGGACTACAGGCACCTGCCACAATGCCCTGCTAATTTTTCTATTTTTAGTAGAAATGGAGTCTTGCTCTTGCTCATGCTGGTTTGAACTCCTGAGCTCAAGCAATCCTCCCACGTCAGCCTCCTAAGGATTAAGTTGCTGTGCCTTACCTATATTTATTTCTTTAGTGTTTATCCTTCCCAGGAGAAAGTAAGATCCATAAGGGCAAAATCTTTGTATTTTGTCCTTTTGCTATTTTCTTAGTATCTGTATTACAGAGATTCTCAGTCACGTTCAATACATATCTGCTGAATAAATGAATTTTTTAACTCAACTACTGCTCACTAATGCAAATTCAATCATTTGTGCCATTAGTTCACAACACAACTTTCTCCCTATCCTGGAAATAAAAAATACTTAAGTAATTAGAGTTGCCAATGGCTAACATGACAATCATAGGGCCATATTAAAGGCAGTAAGAAGCATAAATTTTTTAATCCAGGCATAAGACATACATAGAAAAACCTATAAATGTTTTTTAAACTTTATGGTTATTCCAAGTAATACATTATGAGAATACTAATAGATAAGTGAGAAGAAAAGACTTTTGATAAGCTGATTGGGTTTTGGTATTTTGGTGGGGGGGGTGTTTGTTTGTTTGTTCTAAGACAGAGTCTCACTCTGTCCCCCTGGGTTGTGTGCCATGGCATCAGGCTAGCTCACAGCAACTTCAAACTCTTGGGCTCAAGCAATCCTCTTGCCTCAGCAGAGTAGCCAAGACTATAGGAGCCCACCACCATGCCTGGCTAGTTTTTTCTTTTCTTTCTTTCTTTCTTTCTTTCTTTCTTTTTTTTTTTTTTTTAGACAAAATCTCACTCTGCTGCCCAGGCTAGAGGCCATGGCATCATAGCTCACAGCAACCTCAGACTCTTGGGCTCAAGTAATCCTCTTGCCTCAGCCTCCTGAGTAGCTGGGTCTACAGGCACCCTCCATAACACCCAGCTAGTTTTTCTATTTTTAGTAGAGACAGGGTCTCACTCTTGCTCAGGCTGGCCAGCTAATTTTTTCTTTTTTTAGTAGAGACAGGGTCTTGTTGCTCAGACTAGTCTCGAACTTGTGACCTCAAAAATCCACCCATCTCAGCCTCCTGGTGCTAGGATTATAGGTGTGAGCTGGCTTTGGGACAGGTTGTAGGGGCAAGTTTTCTTTTTTTTCTTTCTTCTCTTCTGATCCTGTACTGATCCAAACTTTATGTTTGAATTGATAAAAAAAAAATTCTGAACTATCCACTGTATTTTTTAAGAGTTCATTTGTTAGACAAAATATGAGGAAATGTGGCCTATTTTATCACCTTTTTGTTTGTTTGTTTTCTAAATGGCTATTTAAATACGGGTAACAGTGTGCAGGACAAACTGGAGCAGCAAGTTCTGTCACCCTGCCCAACTCTCTGTTACCTGAGATCTCCACTCAGACTGGCAGAACCAGCAACTGCTATGCGGTATAACCCAGCTGGACACTCACCCAAAATGAGCCCCCAAACACAAAGAGCAGTCTTCATGTTGAGAACTGTGAGGATCCAGATAAACCACTTCTTGACATATGCTACTCATATGATGTCAGGACAGAGTAGAAAAGAAGCCAACAGAAGTCAAGCACTCTGAGATTTTGATGTAAAAAGTTTTTCTCCACACCTGTAATCCTAGCACTCTGGAAGGCCAGGCAGGTAGACCACCTGAGCTCAGGAGTTTGAGAACAGCCTAAGCAAGAGTGAGACCTCATCTCTACGAAAAATAGAAAAACTAGCCAGGCTTTGAGGCTAGTGTCTGTAGTCCCAGCTACTTAGGAGGCTGAGGCAAAAGGATCTCTTGAGGCCAAGAGTTTGAGGTTGCTGTGAACTATGACACTATGGCACTCTACCCAGGGTGACAGAGTGAATTCCTCTCTCTCTCAAAAAAAGTTTTTCCTCCATGTTATCAAGCTGATCAAGACCAAGCTAAGAAATGTAAAACATGAATGTGCACCCCCACTTTTATCTGTGAAATTCAAATAGGTAGTTTTACATTCACCAAGATCTCCGCAGTTGCTTTCTGGCCATTTTCTTAAAGTAGTGTAAACTACTTTAGGGGTAGTTGTTGGGTTTGCACACAAAACCAGACGTTGCTTCATGGAAGACTGTGTGGGGAAAAAATTACAAATTAAAAAACCAATAAGGGGCAGCACCTGCCCCTCAGTGAGTAAGGCACTGGCCCCATATACCCAGGGTGGTGGGTTCATACCAGGCCCCAGCCAAACTGCAACAACAAAAAATAGCTGGGCATTGTGGTGGGTGCCTGTAGTCCCAGCTACTCGGGAGGCTGAGGCAAGAGAATCGCCTGAGCCCAGGAGTTGGAGATTGCTGTGAGCTGTGTGATGCCACAGCACTCTACCAAGGGCGATAAAAATAAATAAATAAATAAAATTGTATGTGTAATTAATGTAAATATTTACCATAAATCTTCCACAATTTATGAATGGTCAGTACAAGCAAATAATACTTAACTCCCATTTTGGTTATAGCCTACTGACGCTGAGAATCTGCAATTTCTTAAGGCAAACTCTCTTCTTATTTTTTATTCTGGCAGCTAAAAGGTCTCCAGTAGTAAATTAGGTATTCTTCCAGAACTGAGGGAAGTTCGCTGATGTATTAAAAGATTCACCCAGAAATGTCTGGGTCTAGAAGGCCTAAACGACTAATGAGACCATTGGAAGGTTCCAATAATGCTTCCTGTTGTAGAAAATTGCCCTCTTAGAACCTCCCTTTCCGCCTTAAAAACTAGGACATTACATAACTATGAAAGTAGCTGTGGTTTCTAAATCCCTTCCTGCTCTACTTAATTCAAAGCTGCTGAAAATAAATATTTGTAATTGACTGTGACATATGTATATACACATACGTACACATAGGCACACACACACAATTTCTCTGTGAAAAGGGGCGGAGCTAGTACAATGTTTTGTGACAAAACTTTACAGCTCATTTGTTATTAATACGTTTTTGTTCCTGAAAAAGCAAGTTTCAGGGCGGCTTTCGCTCTGCAGGGAGAGTTCTTCTGGAAAGCCAGATTCCAGAAACAGTCCCAGGTATTCCCGCTCAGCCTCCAGGCACTTCAGTTGAAATACAGGGCAGTGTTTTGAAGGGCCACATTTCAGCTCAGCTGGGCACCCATCGGAATTTGTAACCGCCGTTGGCTGTGCGGATGGTGAAGGCTTTGCCTTGGGGGAAGGCGAGGGTGCGGATGGTGCTGTGGCTGCGGATGGGGGTGCTGAAGGAGCCACCCTCCTCCAGCTCGCTGTGGCTCAGGTTCAATGCGCTAGGGCTGCAGTCGGTGTGCAGCCCCCGGAATGCGCCGTGCATATTCCCGGGCCTGCTGTCAGTGTTGGTGGACTCTGACTGCAGCCGTGGCCGCTTGGGATCGCGACTCTGCAGGGCTTGGTCGCAGCGCTCGGAAATCTCCCTCAGTATGGCGTCCACTTCCGCGCAATCCTGCCCTGCAGAGCTGAACAGCTCCTCCAGGCTCCTTTTGGCTGTCGCCTTGAGCACGAAGGGCTCGGTCGCCGCCCCACAATCCCGGGACTGTGTTATCATCAGCTTCTATGAAAGATAGGGAAGAGTGCCACCCTGGGGCCTGCCAGACTCCCCCGGTGCCTGGAGCGCAAAGCCAGACCTGCGTGCGCCACGCACCGGGCGCCAAGCTGTCCTCTTCTGTCCCTGGCCCCCGCCAACTTCCAACGTAGGGAGCAGGTTGGGGAGTGCACTGTAACAGTTTCTAGGTCCTGCAGGGTCCCATATACCCGCGCCCCCACTTACATCCAGCACGGAGGCTAGGTGCCGGGTCCGGCTGGCCAGTTCCTTCAGCTGCACGTTCCGCTCCTTGAGCGAGGCGATCTCTTCTTGTTTCTGGGTTAGCGTTACGTGCAGCTGCAGGAGGAGACCCAACATTCAGGGGCAGCCCCCTGTGCTCAGTCCTATCTGCATATTCTGCAGGAATCAAACTCAGATCCTGACGTCTCATAGGAACTGAGAACTCAAAGGCATTTACACTGGTGAGAAGGATTTTTTAAAAAAACAAACCACCTGGACTATGAATCTCAATACTCCATGTAGCCTGATCTTGAAGAGAGCAACCGGAAGATCTAAGTTTAATTTCTATGAAGTTCAACCGTCCTATACCTCGAATTCCCTCCCTGTAAAATGGGACCTGTAAGAGTATCAACCTCAGTGATTATGAACATTAAATGAGAGGAGAAAGTAAACAGATAAGCGCGGGGCCAGGCACAGCTTCCATAAACATTGGTGGCCCCGTTAAAAACCTGGTGGCATAGGATCGTTCCCACTTAGTGAAGCTGGAAACTGAGGTGAGGCTGCTGGAGCAATAGCAGCCACGTGAACCCGTAGCCAATCCACTGGTTCTGACGTCCGCAGGATCACTTCATCGCTCTGGCAACCTCCTCTTCCGCCCCGCGCTCTACACCCTGTCCCCGCCCCAGGATTCCTCGTCGCCAGCCCAATGTCCCTACTTGGTTATTCTCAACAAGCGCGTCCCCCAACGCCCTCTGGTTCTGGTCCGCCACTTCCTTCCAGTATTGCTCAGGCCGGGGCACTTCTGGAGGGCGTAGCGGCGGTGACTGCAAGGCCTGTGGGTCCAGCGAAGGAGACAGACAGGGCCCGAACGGCGGTACATCGCAGGGAGAGAAGGGGAAGTCTCCGCTGGCAAGGGGAGGTGACATCAAAGAGGCCGAGTCTGGGGAAGGGTGAGAGCTGAGTTTGCAGTCTCAAGTGCAAGCCCCGCTAGCTACAGGAGAAAATGCCACTCTAGGGGTAGGGTTTATGTGAAGACTTTCCTTTATTAAGTAACGCACGCCTCCTCACTCCACAACGCCTAAGATTCCCAAGCCCTTCCCGATACCCTGTCCTTACACAGCAGGTGCTCAACATATGCCTCTTGGATTGACCTGAACCCAGCAATCCCAGGCCTGGAAGTCATTTAGGCCTTAGATTCTCTGCATACTCTTGTCACTCAGCCTCTCCTGGTCACATCACAGCATAGGGCTCTCTCTCCCAGAACTCAAACCCATAGTGGATACAGAGCGATAGATCCAGCAGGCAGCTCTCCACCACCGGAGAGGTATTTTCTAAATATGGAAGAGCCTGACCCTTTGATGAGTTGCTAGAGCGTGGTTGACAGGTGCCTGAGTTTACCACCTTCAGGATCACAAAATCTGAATTAGTCTGATTTGGGGGTGGAAGACAATCCCGCTGTTATTTAATTGCAAGGAGACTTCACTTGCCTGCAATGAGATCATCCACCGTGTCTCTGAAATCCTGCAGATCAAAGGCGGCCTCCGTTTGGAGGGAATGGTTCTAAAATAAACCAGAGGTGAACCGGTTAAAGTCGAGTCTGGCTGGTCTGGGACAATTCCCAGACCCACAGATGTCTGACCGGTTCGGCAGCGGGCCAGCACGCACTCGGGTTTACAGCCCAGCCTCTATCTGAAGACTCAAGCCCCAACTGGAACAGGGAACACGACAGGGGAGCGAGACGCACAGAACGCGGACACACACCAGGAGTCTTCCCTACCCGCCTCGGGGTGTGGAAACCTTGAGCGCCAGTGTATCGGCGGTCGGTCCCTTATTATGCAGTGCGGGGTGGGGGGTGTGGAGCAGAGGCGCAGCGCGATCTCCTTCCATCCGTGAAATGTCAACTCTGACTTACCCGGACCCTCCATGAAGCCATTGCTTTAAGAGGACAGAGCGTGATGTGACCACCGGGTCTTTTCTCCCAAGACCCGACAGCATGCAGGGTCCTCCAAAGCAGTAACTTGAGGCTATCTTTCCCACCAAAGCTAGTTCATAGCTATCCCTGCTGCCACAATGAAGGGGCAAGTGTAGGCTTTGGCTTGAGGGGCCCAGGATGCTGTAGAAAATCTTGTGTACAGCACACAGCGGTATGGCCTCTATTGCTCTTTTCAGTTTCTCAAAAAGTTGGGATGCACCTCCAGCATAATGAACTATACACTCTCCTGGGCTCATGCACTGTGTCTGGGTGCATGAAGACTATAAAAAGGCTAGAGGCCCAGGAGACCTTCTTAGTCCTTTAAATCATGGACGTTTAGAGTTGACAAAACTCACATCAGTGTGGGAAGCAGGCCAGGCCTGGGAAGTGATTCTTCTTCAATTGAAGTTCAGGGAAGTTGTTACCCAAAGTCACCTGCTCTGAAATAGTGGAATAGGGACTCTTGCCCTGGAATGTTGTCTATTTCAACCCTCCTTCCTCCATACTTCATTTCCTCAAGCTTTTCTGGGTTCTTGCTTCTTTGTTTGTTTTGACAGAGTCTCACTGTCACCCTGGGTATGATGTCATGGCATCAGAGCTCACAGCAACCTCAAACTCTTAGGCTTCAGTGAGCCTCTTGCCTCGGCCTCCCAAGTAGCTAGGACTACAGACCTGTGCCATTAGCCACCAGCCAGGCTAGTTTTTCTATTTTTGTAAAGACAGAGTCTTGATCTTGCTCAGGCTGGTCTCCAGCTCCTGAGCTCAAGCAATCCACCTGCCTCACTTCCGTAGTACCAGGATTACAGGCATGAGCCATGGGTGCCTGGCCTGCTTTTCTCTCTTTTTAGGAAACCTAGCTTCCAGCAAACATGGCCCTAGGAAAGAGAGAGGCTCTCACAGGCCATGCTGATGTGAGGGAATGCATCCCATACACCCACCAGAAGGAAAGTCAGTTCCACTGATTCTACTACTGATGATTCCTTTGTGTTAATCACCTTGTTCTCTCCAAAGCCCTTCTTTACTATTCAGATATTGCTATGAAGAAAAATGTATCCTGACCCTACCTTGAAAAAATGTACAAGTAAAAGTTTTTGTCAAGGAGGAAAGAGTCAAACAAGGAGGCCTCTAGCACCAGTTAGACCCTGAGGCTATAAATAAAAAGAAGCTGAGAAAGGAAGGACTGAGGGCCTAGAGATATCCTGGAGTTCTACTCTCCTTGAAGGAGCCTGAAATAAGACTCATTCTTCAAGGACTGAAAGATCTTCTTTTTTTTTTTTTTGAGACAGAGCCTCAAGCTGTCCCCCTGAGTAGAGTGCCATGGCATCACGCTCACAGCAACCTCCAACTCCTGGGCTCAAGCGAGTCTCCTGCCTCCGCCTCCCAAGCAGCTGGGACCACAGGCGCCCGCCACAACGCCCGGCTATTCTTTGGTTGCAGCCGTCATTGTTGCTTGGCGGGTCCGGGCTGGGGATTCGAACCCGCCACCTTAGGTGTACGTGGCTGGCGCCTTAGCCGGTTGAGCCATAGGCGCCGAGCCTGAAAGATCTTCTTTCAGTAAAAACAAGAAAAGCCCTTACCATAAGGAGATTGGAGGCCAACTCAGGAACTGGGACCTAGCAAATGCTACCTCCTATGCTATCCCAGATTTTGGCTTCAAACACTTCTAGATCACTTCCTCTCTCTGTCCTCCTTCTCTAGCAGGAAAGGGGCTGGGAAATGTTTCCTGAGTGTACACCACCCAAAGGTCTCCCCAAATGTTCTTCCCCCAGGAGTCTCTCTTCTCTGTACTAGCTCTCTTTCCCAGGAAAATGCCTGGACCTTTTCGTCCATCTGGAATGAAAATTCCTGGACCTTCTGGTCCCTGGAACTTTGAATCCTACCTCCCCAATTACATAAATCTGGCATTTATCTAACTACAACAGTTAGAAAAAAAATAATAACACAGAACAATCCAGCTGTGGTGGCTCATAATCCTAGCACATTGGGAGGCCCAGGCAGGAGGACTGTTTGAGGTCAGGAGTTTAAGACTAGCCCGAGCAAGAGCAAGACCCCATCTCTACAAAAATAGAACAATCAGCCAGGTGTGGCGATGTGAACCTGTACGCCCAGCTACTAAGGAGGCTGGGGCAGGAGGATTGCTTGAGCCCAGAAATTGAGGTTGCAGTGAGCTATGATGACATCACTATACTGTAGCCTAGGCAAGAGAGCAAGACTCTGTTCCAAACAAATAAAAAATAAAAGGAAATAAATCCTGTAGACATAAGCAAAAATTCAACAAGAGCTGCTTGGTTTTTGTTTCTTGGAAAATAATATTGGGGGGGTGTGTGAGGGAGTGACCTAGGCCTCTGGGTCAGTTGGAAGATGCTTAGTTATTGTCTTTTCTTACTTGAGCATCCAGATCAAAAAGTACAATTAAATGGCCAGCACTGCAATGCCCACTCCCACCTCCTTCCTTAACAATCTCTGGTCTTATCGGTCACCTACCCTAAGTCCTTGTGGGCTCTAGCTCATGGTTCTGAGAAGCCCTTGGAGGCCTGAGAAGCTTTGCTCTACCACCAACCCTAGTTTTGGGAAGCAGTCAACTCTTCTGGAGAGGTCTGTACAGGGCCTGTTCCCAGGCTACAGCACTTGCTGTCTGAAAGCTGGAATTGACACTTTTCTGTGGGTTGCATTGGCTAAGACCCCCATCCTCCTGGGCACTTCATATACTACCCATGAGCCAGGCTTCTGGCCTCCCAGACCAGTGCTGGGAGGCTCCATCCTCTGCCTGGGAAGTGTCAGCTTTGGCACTTTGGTGAAAGTGGGATAAAACTAAAAAGACAGGTCTAGGAGGAAAGAAAAAAGTCATATGCCTTTTTGCTCCACGATGGTAAGTGAATAGAGCTTTTGAAGAGGCAGAAGAGGGCTTTATAAAAAGTGCCCTACTGCTGAAGAGCCATTTCTGCAGAAAGGAAGGGCTTCTGCCAGGTATCTTCCAGAGTTCTTTGTCCTTCCTGCTTTCGCCAAATGCAGATTCTTCCTCTTTTCCAGTCTTGATCAAGAAGTTATCTGTTGACTTCCACTCTCCTTAGATACTCGTGGAACGAAAATAGTGAGTGAGTGGTCAGAAAAGGGATGTTGAGAAAATAGGACATGCATCAGGTGCCGAGGGCACAACTTTGCTCCCACCCATTGGCCTGGTCCCTAAGTGTTTGAGTTCCACACTGCCTGGTGCTCCAAAATAGATGGGGAAGGGAATGGCAGGGATCTCTCCAGGTGAGCCCCACTGCACCGAGCTGGTCAGAAAAGCCCTGGAAATGTGGCTTTCATAACATTGCCAGGAGAAAGGAAGTTCTGATCAGGAAGGCTCAGGTTGCCCACGTCTCCCTCCACGAGCTAAATGTGCCCGTGCTCCAAGCCCCAGACCAGTCTTTGAGGAAATAAACCCACCGCTCCCCAGTCTGGGTTTGGGCTATAGGTGGCCACCAGGCACCACGAGAAGGGGAGGTACCTGAGACGCGGTCGGGTCACCAGCAGGCGGCGCGTCGGTCCCGAGTAGCGAGGAGCAGTCAGCGAGGTCCTGCAGGTCTATGGTGGTGAGGGCTGCGCGGGGAGACCAGGAGACACGCGCCGGGCGGACCCTGAACCTCTCTGCCAGGCTGGCAGCTGGAACCCCGGCTGGGACGTCAGAGCCCGGGAGAGAGAAACTCCTCCGAGCCGCAGGAGCCGCATCCACCCGGTGCGGGGAACCCAAAGGGGCGCGCGAGTGCCACGGGGCTCACCTGGCAGCTCAGCAGGCTCTGGGTCTGGGGGATCCTCGTACACCGACACTGGGATGCAGCCAGTGTACCCGGGAAAGAAGTTTCGAGGAGGGGCAAACTAGCGGGCACAGAAACCGGGACCGCCGATCAGCCCTCGGGGTACGAAGCACACAGACTCCGCCCGGCCCCAGTCTGTGGTCCCACCTTCCTCTCCAGCTTCCCCGGCTTGCCGAGTGACCGGCCGGGCACCCCCAGCATCCTGTTGGGGCAGATGCTGTGGAAGGCTCGGCGTCCGGCCGCGCCTCCTCCGCACGCCTGCATCCTGCCCACCGGTGTCCACTGCTCCGAGGCGGCGGCCGGCTGCGATGCAGACGCACACCCTGCGCTCCGCCTGCCGCCTGTGGGCTCAGAAGCCCGCGGGAGGTAGGGGCAGGCGCGTGGCCGGGGAGGAGCCGAGGGGCGGCTGAGAGGCGCGCAGGGCGGGCGGGGAGGAGGGTGGACCGCGGCGGGACCCGAGACTCGCGCCTGAGCGCAGGGGGCGGCGCCTACAGCTCCGGACAACCTGCGCGCGGGCGGAGGCGTTAAACCCAACCTGGCAACCGGGCTTCCCCCGGGAGCCGCGAGCGCCCTTTCGGCGGGCGTTGGCGCCGTAGCCTCGCAGCCGCGCCAGGAGCAAAAAGGAAAAGAAAGGAGGGGCGGGCGAGCGCCAGCCGTCCCACGCGCTGGGTTCTGTCTTCCCGCTCACCCACAGCGGGAATGGAAATGTTAACGAGTCTTATTTCCTTTTTTTCCTACTCCAGCCACAAGGCATGAAATAAACGTGGAGTGACACTCGCCAAAGCTAGGCTCATTTGCTGTGCCCTACAGGATTTTGTGGGGACTCCCCGATTACAGAAGCCCCTTCCCCTAAACTTGGACAACATTCTCGGTCTTTTTTCTTTCCTGGCCTTATGCCAAGAGCCCCGCCCCGCGCCCCCCGACCCCTTGTTTTTTTCCGGACAGTGGCCTGTGAGCACAACTTTAAAAGAGTAGACGAAGAAAAAGTGACTCAAGAAACCCTCCTCCAGTTTCTGAAAACCCAAACGCGGACGAATCCTCTAATACCCTGTCCTGTCTCTCCTAGTGGCCTCGGTTGCTCTCTTTACATTCGTCCTCCTTGCTGTGCCACAGAGGGAGACGGGGAAACATTGCCCTTCCCAAGCCTGAGCCCTCTCCAGAGAAGGCGCATCTCCCAGCAAAGGCGTCCTTGGGTTTGGACCCTCTCTCAGGACTACTCATATTCGTCCAATTTCTACAACCATCTGAAATTGGAATCTTTGTGTGCCCTATTTGGCACCGTGCTTTCCCCTTATATCTAGCAGTAGTGAAAGATCTTTTAAAGTGTCACCATCCCTTTTATTTTCATCCATTTTCTGGAGTAAGAAACAAGATTCCCCTAATAGTGGTGGAGGGTAACACAATGGTAGGGCTGGAATCCTCTTAGAGACTGCCCCACACACACAACACATGTGTAGATGCAGGAACTGTGCTGGGGCAGGTCAGCCAGGTAAGCTGGTGTGGTTTAGTGAATGGTGAGCTTTGGCTTTAAGGTCAGAGTGCCCATGGACCAGTTCTGTGAGCCCCATGTGTTTAGGGAAGATTGTAACACTGACCTCTCTATAGAGGTGCTGTGAGATTATTTATGTAAAGTTACTGGTGCTTGGTATGGGTAAATTAATGTTTTTTTTTTTTTTAGGTAACCTTTTCAGCTATACTTCCAGCTTCCCACAGCTGTTCCTGGCTCTATCTCCTGGTTCCTGAGAGTCTATTTGTCTAATAGACTAAATAGTCTGGCCAGTCTATTTCTACCCCATCCTTACCCACTTTCCAGTCTGTGAAATGAATAGGGGAGTTCTTAGCTGAGTTTTGAGGAGGTCTCTACACATGGAGACAAGATTATCTAGGATAAGCCCATTTTCCAAATAATCATGGAGTCTCAAGTTAGGGACTCCATGAAATATGGGCATTGTACAATAGATTCTCTGTAACAATGGAGACTGGAATAGCATGGTTCCATTACTCATAGTCTGGATGATTCCAGAACCAGTCACCCATAGCAATTATGGCTGAATGATGGAGTAAATACTGGAGAAGACAATTCCTCCCAAAGTCACTTCTGTAGATGGACCAGATCCCATCCTCTTACAAACAGGCTGAGGTCTCCAAATAATCTGAAACGTGGGACAGCTGATGTGATCTTCCTTTCCCCCTCCTTTTTTTTTTTTTTTTTTTTTTTTTGACACCAAAAAATAACTTTTCCCCAAACAACTTGGAGAACACTTCTTCCTGAGCCAAGGAAAAGTTCCTAGAGAGCTTAGCATATCAACACATCAGAAGGGTCTAAGGGGCCCAGAGGAAGTCACTCCTGACTCTGGAGAGCACTTACAAGATACATTGGGAAGAAGCACAAAGAAGTTTCTCTAAATTTGCTTTGAGTTTTTTTATTTGTGTTGGTCATATACCATTATTTTGATTTATTCTAAATGCAGTGGAATGTGACTGAGATTTTCCTTTAAACTTTTTTTAACCATACAGAAAATTTGAAAATACAGTACAATGAACCATATGTTCACTCTCACTTAACATTTCCCCATATTTGTTTTCTCTTTCTTTGCTCCAAGTTTTTCCATAGACTTTCTCTCCTACCATCATTGTGCAGGCTGTCATTAGCAGCCTTTTCTTCGGGACTTCCCATGTGCCAGGACCTGTGATGGGGGATTTGTCTGGAGCATATCATTAGAGCCATACCTTAACCATGTTAAAATAGGTTATTATTTTTACAGTGGAGACAAAGCATAGATATCCAAAGCCCACTAATCTCTGCTTTAGTCTACCTCTCACAACACTTCAGTTTCACAACACTAGTATCAATTGTAGAGCTCAGAGAGGATAAGAAATTTACTGGAGGTGAGAGCTGAGATTCAGGGCCTGCAGTGGATTTATGATAGTGAGCCTGAAAGTACTGTGATAGCTATGAAGTCAAAGAACTCCAGCAAGCCTCTATCTCATTTTCAACGGTTTTCTCATCTGTAAACAGGTTGTGTAATATGTCTGGAGGTAAGGGTGTGCTGGCTGTCCATATATATTCTCTACAGTCCCCACTGAAGAGCACTGAGTAACTTGTCCAGCACTCACATCAGGTAGAGGGGTTTTTGAAAATTGTAGAGAATTATTAATGGGAGAAGTTTAGCAGTGTGACTAAGAGTAATTCCAGACTCCTATCCCTTGCCTTCAAATACTAGCTGTTGTCTGTTAGCATCTCTTTGCCCCAGTGTCCTCCTCTGAAAAATGGGATAATAGACTCTGCTTATAGAATTGTTAGAAGGCCGGCTGGATGCAGTGGCTCATGCCTGTAATCCTAGCACTTTGGGACGCCAAGGTGGGTGGTTTGCCTGAACTCACAGGTTCAACCAGCCTGAGACAGAGCGAGACTCCGTCTCTAAAAATAGCCCAGCATAGTGTCAGGTGCCTGTAGTCCCAGCTACTTGGGAGGCTGAGGCAAGAGAATTTCTCACTTGAGCCCAAGAGTTTGAGGTTGCTGTGAGCTATGATACCATAGCACTCTACCAAGGGTGAAAAGTGAGACCCTATTAGAAAAAAAAACAGAAGTGTTAGATGGTTGAAGTAAAGAATGCTGAACACATTACCAGGTACATCACAACAACGTTCAATATAGCCATTATGACTTAATGTCATTATTACCCTGGGTTTCACATGCAGCTTCAGTAACAGCTGAACCATGTGATGACAGGGTAAGTAGGTTCACCTTGCAACGGCCAAGAACACACCTGCAGATCCTTCCTTCCCAAAATCAGTTGTGCACAAACTTCTTTGGTATCTGGGTTTCTCTTGCTTCTCTCCTTTAGTGCGCCTACGTGGTCCCCAAAGCTCCCCAGCCTTGCTAAAGCTACATCTGACTTTGAAACCCTGGCCCCTCCCAAGTTCATCAACTTGTGAATTCTTTCCTGCCTCCCATTCCAGCCAGCCCTCTGGACCCCTGGTGATGCTGCAGTCTCCAAATCCCGATGCAAAGGACCCAACGCTGAGAATGACCCTGCCTCGCCTTAGCTCTGGAACCGCAGTATCCGGGACCTAGCCTGCTCAGAGATTGCAACTACAGAGTGGATCTGGAGGGAGTTAGATCCCTTGAACGTTGCCAAATCGTCCCTATTCCTGAGCTGACTTCACCTCCTCTCTCCTCACAGACGCGTGCAATAGCAACAGACAAATCACGACTAAGTCTGTTTATTGGGGAAAAGATTCGGCTCCCTGGTGTGTTCTCAAACTACTAGATGCTACTGCCGCACACTATCTGCAACCTGCAACTGACAAAGCAGGAACCCTGAACGCTTCTCTATGGAGCACTCCTACTACACTCTTCTAAAACAATGGGAGAGGGCCCGCAGCCCAGCTTGGGACCAAAAGGAGAGGAGACCAAGGGTCTGTTTTATTTCAAGCTGGGGGACAGGCTGCACTTCTCACAGATCCGGAGGGGCAGAATGTGAGCCAGGGAGGTACTGTTTATGGCCACCAACAGCTGCAGCTTGCCCAGGCAGTCCTGGAGTGCCGCCTCCGGGTGCTCTCCCAGGCGCAGGTCCACCGGGCGCCGGAGCCTCAGCATGCGATCAGCCAGCGCCAAGCAGCAGATGGCCAGTAGGGAAGGGGCGTAGCTGGCGAAAGCGTAGTCGGCCAGACTTAGCTCCGCCACCCCTTGAGCCAAGGCTTGGGCTTCCAGGGCTTCAGAGACTTCAACCTGCCCAGCCTCCACGCGAGCGTGCGTGAAATGCTCTAGAAAGAAGCTGATTGTGGGCGCGCCCAGGCTGAAGTGCAGCTTGTGCAGCACAATGCACTCGAGGTTGCAGAGCTGCTGCCGGGAGAAGGCGCCGCAGCACAGGGCCAGGAGCTGCTTCACGCGCGGCGGGTGGACCTCCACCTGCAACACAGCGCGCGCTCAGCCCCCGCCTGCCGGCTTCTAGGAGGAAGCCCCCCGCCCCCCGCCTGGATTCCGAGAGACGATCTCCCCACCCCTTCCAGAGGACGGCCAGGACTTCACCTCTCCACGGCTCCCTCTTTAAGTCAGCTGGGGCGTACTTCAGCACAGTCCCTCTAACTACTGTCCAAAAAAAGGTTTGGGAAACTTTGAAGGCTCGGGAGACTAGAATGCAGGCGCCATAGAGAGCTGTTGGGGACTGACTACAGCTATTTCTTTGGTGCCTGAGTGACAGGACTGTTAGTTTATGGAGAATTGTGACGTTAAGGTAGGGCTCTATATTTGCAAACATCTGCCAAAATGAGTTCAGGGAATTCAGGACTGAATCGCCTGCTATGCAAAGCCTGGCAGATTGAGAGTGGCCGGGAGTTTGAGCTCCTCCCCACCCACCTTGCTGGGTGGAGGTACCTGTTTGCAAGCAATGAGGAGGGAGGTGACCCCGAGCAGCTGGAA